GGGAGCCAGTCGAGCCGGGCCGGCGAGCGGAGGCGGCGGCGCAGGCAGAGCGGCGGCCGGAGCCCGAGCGCCGCGCGCCCACCATGGCCGCCCAGGGAGAGCCCGGCTATCAGGCGGCTCAGTCGGACCCGGGCTCCAACAGCGAGCGCAGCACTGACTCGCCCATGCCAGGTTCCGAGGACGACCTGGTCGCCGGGGCGCCCTTGCATAGTCCTGAGTGGAGCGAGGAACGCTTCCGCGTGGACAGGAAGAAACTTGAGGCCATGTTACAAGGTAGGCATCCCCCGCGTTCTCCGACTCCCGGTCGGAGCCCGTACTCCTTCCCGGACATCCCTGTCCCGCGCCCAGCTCCCTGCTCCAGCGACAGCCGACTTAGTTCCCCGGTCCCCTCCCCCGCGGAACTGCAGGACACCCAAGGAGTGAAGACCTCACGGGACTCTCCACCCTTCCACACCTCTCCGGTCTTCAGGCACCGGGAGCCTTGTGCTAACTTGACCCGGCTTCAGAAAAGCCAAAGGCCGAGTTTGTACCGGCGCGCCTGAGTTGTGTTCTTGGATACTTTGGAGATGCCAACTTTAGTCCGGACACCCGGGCTGTGTCATCAGGACCCACTAGGACCGCACAGAGTATGCGTGACTCTATCCCCACTCGCTGATAGCCTTGAATTCTACCTCTGAGCCCCTCTCTGTTTCTCCTCTTGTCAGTATCCACTTCCTCCAGCTGAGGGGCCTTGTTTAGCTATTGGGAAACGCTGCCCGTGTCAGAATTTAAGATAGGAGTTCCCTCCCCTCCACCCTCCACGGGGCGGTAAAGAGGGGCCTGGATGGGGGTAAGCAGCCAGAGTGTGGGGATTGTGTCAGCTCAATGCTGCTGGGTTGGAGGACACCGTGTGTTCACCTCCTGACAGGCTTATAAAACAGATCCTGAGTTACACTCAGTTCATGAAAATCTTTCTGTACTATGAGTATCTGTCTTACACAATTTGTGTGTGTGTGTGTGTGTGTGTGTGTGTGTGTGTGTGTGTGTGTGTGTTTAATTACCTAGTTTCTCTGGGACTTTCCCAGGCACAATAGCTTTAACCATACCGGACTGGAAACAAATAGTGAGTTTTAATGGGATGGTTGGTTTCTCAGAGTGAATGCTAACATGTCCAAGGTCATTTTGACCTTCCTTAAAAATGTTAATTACTAGCCTACCTGTAAAGCCACCAATGTGGTCATTTCCCTTCTCCAGAAAAATAGAGTAGTTTGAATGACTGTGATTCTGTAGAGGACCAGGCATTAATTTGATTAAGGATGTATGATGGGTTCATTCAGTGGCTAGTACCCTTATATCATTAGAGGATTGGAGCTTTCCAACTATCTTTTGTGGCTTTGTGCATAACCTACTTTGACTTTATCCGTCAGTGCATCACAACATGGAGATTTTTAGCCCTTCCTGGAGATTTTAGCCTCCCCAGTGGCTTTTAAAACAATTAAGCAGGTTATTTTAAGAGAGAACAACAGGGGCGCCTGGGTGGCGCAGTGGGTTAAGCGTCCGACTTC